CTTCAGATAGAGCAGGAGGGAGAGAGGGAGGAAGAGAGAGAGAGAGAGAGAGATTGATGTGAGAGAGACACATTGAGTGTCCGCCACCCACACAACCCCAACAGGGGCCAGGAACAAACTGCAACCGAGGTACGTGCCCTTAGCGGGAACCGAACCCGGGACTCTCTGGTCTGCAGGCCGACGCTCTAACTGCTGAGCCAAACCAGCTAGGGCTTGTTTAGAATTTTTATTTGTTGTGTGCCATGGATGTTGCATGGATATTGTGTTTATTCCTTTAACAATTATTTTTTTTATATAGTTGAATTTTCCTGGACCAACTGGCAACAGGAAGTTTTCGTGGAAAGTGGGAGAGAGGCCAGGGTGGTTCTGTAGGCGTCTCTGCTAAAAGGCTCCCTCCTCTGTTTTTATGGGGAATGAATTGTTCCTTATATGACCTGGCTGGTGTGGCTCAGTGGTTGGGCACTGACTCACGCACCAAGAGGTCGCCGCTTCCATTCCTGGTCAGGGCACAAGCCCAGGTTATGGGCCCCGATGCCCAGTGGGGGACCTGCAGGAGGTGGCCAGTCGATGTTCTCTCTCATCAATGTTTCCATCTCTCTCTCTCCCTCTCCCTTCCTCTCTTTCTAAAATCAATAAAGAAAAAAATGAAATAAAATATGACCCTTCTCTGGATGAACTCCTTTACCTCTCAGAACCCAACCTAGTTCAAGAGGCAAGCTGCCTCCAGCAGTGAGCGCCCCTTCCCGGGTCACTCGATGCTCCCCTGCTGGACCCCTCTGCGCCCGCCCGTTCTTCCCACCTCGCTGCCCATCTGCTGGCCTCGGGTGCTTTGGGCCACACTTACATGGGATTTGGGATTTATGGCGTTTTCTTGCCCCTAATTTCCCCAAAGCTATAGCTTGTGGTTTCTGTTTTTCTTACCCTGTTGCTCTCTCTGACGTCAGTAGAAGAGGAAAGGATCTGCCTCATTCTTTATTGCTGCCTTATTCCTACTGGGAGGAGGAGTGTGCGCCTCCCTCCACGTCCTGTGCGTACCATCCCCCACAGGGCTGGCCAGCTGGAGCTCTGGCTGTGGCGCACTTAACAGGCTTGGGAGGAGGAGCCCTTCACTCCGCTCACCATGATCTCACTTCCAATAACTGCCATTCTTATTTCTTGAGTAGAAATAATATATTAAGTTATGCCCTGAAAAATGGGGGGGGGGGGGCCGGAATGAGGGAAGGACAGCAGACCTTTCACGTAGTATTTGGATGCTCTAGGTACTGGTTTTTTGCACCAAGGAGGGTCTGAGTTCCAAGCCCACAGAGCCCACCCCTCTGGGTCTCATGGATGAAGAAGCTATGGTGCAGGTCCAGGGTTACTGAGCCATTTAGTGGCAGATTCAAACTGCCTGTAGGGACCTGGATTTGAATCCTGTACTCCGCGCCATGTCCTGGCCTGGCAACCTTCTTCCCCAGTTAGCTCAAGCTGCTGCCAGCCTCGGGCATCTACTCAGGTGTCAACCTATCAAGGAGGCCGATCAGCCTATGCCCCGTGCGCGTTCCCATGGTTAGAACATGTGGTTAGTCTCGCTCTCCTCCCCACTGTGCAGAAGGGAACGGAGGCCCGGAAAAGGAAAGTGACTTGCCTAAGTCAGGAACAAGATTGGGTAGACATGGAAGCACACACCAGCCCTGGTGCCCCCCGCTGGGGCCCCTCCCACCACTCACTCACCTTTTGAAAGTTCAATAGCGGAGCAGGGCCTGGGATTGGCTGGACTAATACCTGTGCCCCTCAGATGACACTCTGACCCCCTGGTGGCCAGGCCAGGCCTCCTTACTCTATCAGATGGGCTCTCACCGAGCAGAAGAACGTGCCCCCCGCTGCGCCCCCAGCCCCAGACATCCCAGGACACAGTGGATCCTGGTTTCCTCTCCTGTCGGGCACCCCTGCAGGTTGGGGGTGAGGCGTTTGCGGCCCTGGCAGGGAGAGCACCTTCCTCGGGGGGAGGAGAAGCGGTCTGTATTCATTCCCCCAGGGGGATTGTCCTCGGCTGGAGGGAGGCCTCCACCCTGGGGACAGCCGACCAGGGCGGGAGGGCGGGTGGGGATGGGCCCTCAGGCCCCTTCGGAACTGACATCTCCGAAGGCTGTGCCCGCTCAGCAGGTGAGGCAGCAAACCTCAGACTCTGGGCTCAGGTGCTGGGTTCTAATCACGACTCCATTTCGACCACTGGTGTGACCTCGGAAAGTCACTCTCCTGTGTCCTCATTCATGACTTTATTTAAAAAAAATTTTTTATTGATTTTTTTCTTTTTTTAAGAAAGAAGAAGTAGGGTGGGAGAGAGAGAGAGAGAAACATCGATTGGCCGCCTCCTGCATGCCCCCCCCTGAGGATCAGGCCCACAACCTGGGCACGTGCCCTGACTGGGAATCAAACGGGTGACCTCTTGGTGCAGGGTCAACGCTCAGACACTGAGCCACACCGGCCGGACCTCATCCACAACTTTAGAGTACTTCACGAGGTGGCTCTGAGGCGTCAGGACAGAGACACAGAAGGGGCGTAGTGGAATGACCAGTGGCCTCCTGTTAGGTCCTAACCCCCGACCCCATGCCTGTGAGCTCATTTGGAAGTAGGGTGTTTGCAGAGGCGGAGACCACAAGCACAGGAGTGGAGAGCCACCAGAAGCTGGAAGAGGCAGGAACAGCATCTTCCCTGGCACCCGAGAGGGAGTGGGGCCCCGCTGACACCCTGATTGCAGTCTTCTTCCCTCCTGAACGGCAGAAAGGGGTGTTCGTTTTAAGCCCCAGACTTACAGCCACAGGGAGCTGACCACAGTCTGGTTTCTTCCCGTCTGCACAGTTTCCTGGTTGAGATTTCTGAGGTGTCTGCCTCCTGCGCCACCTCTCAGATGCTCTGTAGGGTATGGGACACCCCAGCAGAGGGACAGGAGGGGCTCCCTGAGCTGCCCCCGGTGGAGGCCCAGGTTTCCTCCTCCCTCCACTGCTGTGCGTCCTTAGCCGAGTCTCTTTCCGTCTCTGGGCCTCTGTCCCCATTGAACATCGTGCCCTCTGGTGTTCTGGGAGCCACTCGGTCAGCACCCAGCCTGGCAGCAGGGTTCCGTCCGGACTAGGTCTGACCATCACTGTGACTCTCTCTGTTTGGGTCAGGGTCAGCCAGCGCTGGGCTGGACACGGGAGCCCAGAGTGGACCAGAGGTGGAGTGCTCCACCGCGGGGACAGAGGTGGGTGTGGGCATGAAGAGGTGACAAGTGCCAGGTGGAGGAGCCTGTCCCAGGTACCTGAACCTGGGCCCTGATGCCGACGCTCCCAAGGGGCCTGCAGAGCTGAGGCCGAGGGCCAAGCCAGCAGGGGTCTGGTCAGGCCGCCGCCATCTGGCTCCACCAGCCGCCACCTCTCACTCTCACTTCCTGCCTGAGAGAGCTCCTGGGGGTCATGATGATGGGACACAGAAGGCTTAGAGCAGGGATGAGACCGCAGGTAACGTGCTAACTGGAAACACCTCCCCGCGCAGGGCTGGAAGGGGCGGGCAGGGGGAGGTAGGAGGAGGTGCTGGCAGCCAAATGCCAGGCTTGTTTGACCACGGGCCAGGACCAGGGCCCAGCTGCGTGGCCCATCCAGGAGGCCAGGAGCATGCTTTGGGCCTGAGGTCACACGGGCGTTGGGTTGTGGCCAGCTTGGCCCGTACAGTTTCTATTCCTGGATTGTGGGCTCTTGCACCAAATACGGTGCTGCTTGCATCTAGCACCCTCAGCGACAGCAGATGCGGCTCGAGTGGCACACCCTGCCCCCACCAGGCCCAGAACCCCGCACCATGGCAGAGCCACAGCACCCCAGGGCCCCTGGGCCCGTAAGCTGCCAGGGCCTCGCTCCACCAGCTAACGTCTGTCTGTCCACTCCTCAGTCTGGTTCACACTGGGTTAAGAATAGTCAGGACCAGAATAACCTCTCTTCCTGCAGGGAAAACGCAGGGCAGGGAGAACAAGGATCTTGGTTTACATCAGGGCTGCCATTCAGGCCCTGGTGGGGGATCCCAGGCAGCTCACCCGACCTCTGACCCCGTTTCCTCTCTCATGGGCTCACTGGTTCAGCTGACCACTCACTGATTTTCTGACTCACTGGCTCCTCACCTGCACGACTCACTCAGTCTTCACCGACTACATACTAACAGCCCGGTGCTACCCTAGATGCTGAACAAAACACAAAACTCAAAAATGTGCCCGTCCCCATGGGGTTATGTTCCAAATAACCAACACAAACAAGTACGACAGTGCACCGTATGTTAGAGTGTGTCCCGGGGACAAGAGACCGCAGCCAGAGGCGATGGGGCCGTTGACATTTAGGGAGGCTGGAGGGTCCTGGAAAGGTGATTTCTGAGTGAAGGCGAGAGGGGGTGAGGGGACGAGCTGTGGGAACAGGGTTCCAAGCAGAAGGAACAGCAGGTGCGAAGGCCCCGACCCGGCAGCATGGGGGGGATGGGTTTGGGGGAAAGCAAGGTCAGTTGTGGCAGGGGCAGAGCAGGTGATGGGGAGAGATGCGGCCAGCTGGTGGGGGACACGCAGGGCCTGAGCAGAGGAATGACCGGCCTGCCGTGTATTTGCAGTCCCTCTGGCTGTCCAGTGAGTCTGTCAGTGAGCAAGCGAATAAATGAGACAGTGCATTTCCTGTTTGACCACGACATGCCGGGCATGGAGCTGGGCAGTGGGGAGAGAAGGTGTTCAGGCCCCGATGGCCCTTCTGGAGGTCTTTCTGGCCAACTCCCTTTCTCGTCGGTCACCTTCCGGGGAAGCCACCTTCCCTGGGCTCTGCGGGTGCCTGCTGCGTGTCAGTTGTCATCTAGTCTAGTATACTGTCCGTGTCTCTTCTCAAAGGGTCTCCCACAGGCTGAGTGCTCCTCCAGGGTAGGGCCGCCCCTAATAGCCCCATGAATCAATGAAGAAAGGAGCCCCAGCCCCGGGAGAGCCCGCAGCCCCTCACTCGGTCTCTCACCATCTTTTGCAGATGGATCTGTGGGCACGGAGAGCGTGTGGAAGGACCGTGTTCATCTTGGCAGAGGAGGTTGGCTGCTGAGCCAGGGTGTGTCCCCAGGAGGCCTGCCAGGCTGCCCGGATCTCCACCTCACCGCCATGGGCTGCCCAGGCTGGTCAGTTCCAGCCCTTGACATCGTTTTGGTTCCCTGCCCTTGGCCCTGGGGGAGGGCTGGGCCCAACTGCCCAAGTCCTAGGCTCCTGGCACCGCTCTCTGGCATGAGACCCATCTGTCCTGGGAGGGGTTGTTCCCAGCTCCCTGTAGTCCCCAGGCCGTGTCCCGTTCCTCCACCCTTTTCTGCCCAAGTCTCCTGGTCTCTAAAGTAGAGGTGATGCAGCTGTTCCCTGGGGTTACTTCGGGCCAGAGTGGGTATAAATTTGGCACTGTGCACTCAGAAGGCACTGAGTAAATGGTGGCCGGGTTCTGTTAATCCTGAGCAGAGTCCAGGCCAGTGTGCGCTGACTGCCCCCGGCGCCAGGCAGGATGGTGCAGTGGTGAGCGCAGACTGGAGCCAGGTGGGTTCACACCCATGCGCGGCCACTTGCTGGCTGTGGGACTCTGCGTGAGTTATCCACTTCTCTGTGCCTCAGTTTCCTCACCCGTGAAATGGCGATGATGATTGCCACCCTTAGGGTAGCAGAAGGGTTTAATGAGTTCATATATGTTAAATGCTGACATAAATGCTATCATCTGGCGTGAGCATGGTAGCAGTCAATATCTGGTGAGTGGATGAATGAATGAATGAATGAATGAGGACAGACAGACAGCCTTTGGGTTCTAGTGCTCCTGTCTTGCAGGTGGGAAGAGTGAGGCTCAGATCGCTGGCTGACTTGCCCCAGGTCTCACAGCTGCTTCAGGCAGACTTGAGGTCACCTGCATCCCAGGCATTCACGGTCCCACCCCTGGGGACGGGGCCCAAACTTATCTCTCTCTTCCTTTTTTTTAAAAATTTCCCATGTGTATGAAATATTTTTGGATGCTGAATGCTGAGGGGGGTGTGTGTGTGTGTTCTTTATTGATTTTAGAGAGAGAGGAAAGGAGAGGGAGATAGAAACATCGATGAGAGAACATCAACTGGCCGCCTCCTGCGTGCCTCCCACTGGGGATCGGGCCCACAACCTGGGCACGTGCCCTGACCGGGAATTGAACCAGCGATCTCTTGGTGCATGGGTTGATGCTCAGTCACTGAGCCACAGCAGCCGGGCCCCAAGCCTATCTTGTTCCTCCCAGCCTCCCACAGGGCATCCAGGAATGTTCCTGGTGCTGGCCAAGTGGGCACTACTGGACAGAGTGAGTGTCCAAGGACAGCAGTACTAGCAAAGTTCATGGGCTATAGGACAACTTCCCTGTCCCTGTCCCCCCAGACCTGTGTCTAGGAAAAGTATGACCCAGGGCAGGGGCTGAAGGAGCCAGGGGTCCAGGAGACCCCGGCGTGTCTGAATCCAGGGCTTTGGGACCTGGCAAGCATCTCCACGTGCCTAGAATTCACCCTTCCTGCCTGTGAATGGGCTTGCACGCCAGCACCCAGGCCTGCCAGGGTCCCAGGGCTCCTGCTGGAAGTCCCTGAGGGTGCTCAGCAGTTTGCCCTCTTAGACCAGCTCCAGGCCTGGTTTGTGGAGCTGAGGGGTACGTACATTGGGCCGCAGATCACAGGCTGCCAGCCTGGCATGCTGAGGGCCAGGCAGAGAGGCCTGTGGCAGAGGCATTGCTTCCGACAACTCCTGCACGTGCCAGACCCTGCCTGGCATCCCTGATGGCCCCAAGTTATAGGTGACACCTGGGGAGCTCACAGGTGTGTCACAGAGTGTGAAAGGGACCTTTCCAGACCTCAGTCCAAGGTCCACTGCTTGCATTTTGCAGGTGAGGAAGGATGTGGGGCTCTGAGCAGCTGGCAGGCCTGTGCGCTTTGGAAGCCAGCCTTGGCGTTGGCCACCGTTGTAGGAAGCATTTTCTTGGGTCAGGGATGCCATGCAGCCTGCCCGAATGTGGTGCTCATCTCTTACAGACTGGCCGGTTCCTGCTGGAGGCTCCTGGTGTCGTCCGGGGAGACCATGTCCAGGCCCCCGGACTGCCTGCTGTGGCTGCTCCGGGGGGCCCCGAGCCAGCGGGGCTGCACCCTGTTCATCATCAGCTTCAAGTTCATGTTTTTGGTCTCCATCATGATCTACTGGCACATGATGGGGGGGCCCGAGAGCCAAGGGCAACTCTCTAACCTGCCCGTCGACGCCCCCTGCTCCCACCTGGTGCCCCCCAAACTGCCCTCCAGCACCCCACCTTCGGGCAACATCTTCTTCCTGGAGACTTCGCACCGGACCAACCCCAACTTCCTGTTCATGTGCTCGGTGGAGTCAGCCGCCAGGGCCCACCCCGAGTCCCGGGTGGTGGTCCTGATGAAGGGGCTGCCCGGCGGCAACGCCTCCCTGCCCCGGCACCTGGGCCTGTCGCTCCTGGGCTGCTTCCCCAACGTCCAGATGCTCCCGCTGGACCTGGAGGCGCTGTTCCGGGACACGCCCCTGGCGGCCTGGTACATGGCCCTGTGGCAGCGCTGGGAGCCCTACCTGCTGCCCGTGCTCTCCGACGCCGCCCGGCTGGCCCTCATGTGGAAGTTCGGGGGCATCTACCTGGACACGGACTTCATCGTCCTCAAGAGCCTGAGGAACCTGACCAACACGCTGGGCACCCAGTCCCGTTATGTCCTCAATGGTGCCTTCCTGGCCTTCGATCGCCACCACGAGTTCGTGGCCCTGTGCATGCGTGACTTCGTGGCCAACTACAACGGCTGGATCTGGGGCCACCAGGGCCCGCAGCTCCTCACCCGGGTCTTCAAGAAGTGGTGCTCCATCCGCAGCCTGAGCGAGAGCCGGGGCTGCCGCGGCGTCCGCACCCTGCCCTGCGAGGCCTTCTACCCCATCCCCTGGCAGGACTGGAAGAAGTACTTCGAGGATATCAGCCCCGAGGAGCTGCACCGGCTGCTCCAAGCCACCTACGCCGTCCACGTGTGGAACAAGAAGAGCCAGGGCACGCGCCTCGAGGCCACGTCCAGGGCGCTGCTGGCCCAGCTCCATGCCCGCTACTGCCCCACGACACACGAGGCCATGAAGATGTACTTGTGAGGGGTCTGCCAGGCCACCTCCCCAGGCCCGGCATCTGGCTGGAGAAGGATCCCCAGCCGCCCTTCCTGGGAGGCAAGATGAGGGGAGGGGTAGGGACCTGGTGGTCCGGGGGGTGTTATGGAGGATTTGCTGCGGGCCCTGCGGTGTGCTCCCTTGAAGCCAGGGTGAGGCTGGCGGGACACCCCTCGGCCAGTGTGCTGTCTCGGAGAAAAGGTGCTAAGTGGTGGGGGAAGGACCCCCAGCCAGAATCAGCTGGGGAGCATCCTGGGTCTGCTAGACCACACATGGGAGCTGTGAGCATCAGAGCATCTTCCAGCGTCCCAGGGAAGCCAGGCCTCTGGGGCCCAGGAGCCTGTGATGGGAGCAGCCTCAGAGAAGCCCAGGGAAAGGGGTAAGGAAGGCGGCCCCAGGATGAGGGGAGAGGAGGCCACTGCGGGAGAGCAGAGTGCAAACCCAGCCTCTGGAGCCCAGGGTGGGGCTCCACTCCTTCCTGTTTGGTTTTCTTTAAGAGGCCGAAGCTGCTGGCCTGGGGAGCGTTTGGGGGAGTCCCTGCCTGCCACCCCATCCTTCTTTCCACAGTTGTTGCAAGGGTGACAGCTGCCCGCTGGAGGGGGGTCATGGGGGTGTGGAGTATTTTGGGCTTGGGAAAAGCATTTTAAAGCAACCACTCCCACCCTGCTGGTAATAAACACAGGGAAATAATAAATGTACCATGTGACTCACTGACACCTAATGCTCTGTGGTTGATAAAATCATTCACTCACACGGCCCTTTGCAGCTCCATTCTGCAGACGGGGAAGCACCGGGCTGGAGGTCCTGGGGTCGTGCAACCTGCCCAGGTCAGGACTGGGCCGGAGGAAAGTCCGCCCTCAAAAGAATGAGGCCCTGCTGGTTGGTGTTGAAGTCACCTCAGACCCGGGCAGCCCAGCAGAAGGCCTGCTGAGGGACTGGGGGTGCTGCCAGAACTCGGGCTCTGCCTGCTGCTTTTTGGAAGCTGAGGGGGAGGTACTTAGCAGCCTCTGGATTCTGCCTGCAGACAGTCTTGGGCAGCCCTGTCAGGTGGTGAGCTCCCTGACTCTAGCAGTATTCAAGAGCAGGTGAAGTTTTTGATGCAAACAGTGGATTATATGTAACTTCTTTGTCCAAATATAACATTTCACCTATCTTAAATTTTTTTTTGATAAGCAGATTTTGCTTTAATAATACAAATAATGTATATAACTATATATTTTAAAAAGTGAGATGGCCGTCATTTGGTCATCATGTAGTGAGTGTCTACTGTGTCAACATATAGGGATGAAACAGACACACGTCACTCCCTCACCCTAAACTCTTCTTGGGCCTAGGGAACAAAGCCGACCTCCTCCGTCCAGTATTCAAGGCCCTCCATGATCTGACCCCACCTCCCTCTCCAGCCTTGAGCTTTGCCTCCATCCACACTAAACTGGATATTCTTGACTCCCTTTCCCACGCCTCTCAGCCTTTGCTACTGCCTGCTGTGCCCTTCCCAACCATCTACACCGATAAACTCTCGTTCCTTCCCATAAGGCTGATCCCCACTCTGGGAAGCCTTCCCTGATTGCCCTCCTCCAGCCCCACAGCTCCCAGGCATCCTCCATGACCTTGGGGTGTTTGGTCCATCCCTCTAAACATCTTGAAGGGCAGAGTAATGTCTAGTCGCTCGCAGGGTCACTCCTAGGGTTGGACTCAGGCTCCCCGTGGGGACATCCATGCAGCTTTGCGAAGGCCTCATAAAGTTGCTGTTGGTCTGTGCAGAGCTGAAGGACCAGAGGCAGCAACTCTGGACGCCCCCCCCCCCCCAGCTCCCTGGAACATGGGTAAGAGAGCCTTGGCCCTCAGCTGCCCGACCCCTGACCCTGCGGGCTGGCCGTGCCCGGCAGCTGCACCAGCTCTAGGGGTGCAGGCGTCCCGAGGGGCTGCAGGCCTTCGCGGCCGACCCTGTCGGGAAAGGCCGCCCTGGAGGCAGCTCTGGCCCCCGCAGCCTCACGTCATGCCAGCAGAGCCCCAAATGGGAGAGCTCTCAGGTGTTCCTGGCATCCTCATCTCTGAGAAGGGGAGCATGGGACCCAGGCACAGAGGTTTGAGGTTGATTTTTCCTCTTCCATGGTCTAGTAAGGACCCTCCGTCCATCCGCTGGGACAGTGGGGGGGGGGGGGGCTGTACCTGGCTGAGCCAGCCCCCTATTGCAGCAGCTGTAGACCCAGCAGGCCAGAAATAACAGCAGCACCCTGGAGAGGAGGCTGAGGATGGGCGTGCGTGGGGCCGAGGGGACAGGAGAAAGGCTGATTCATGACCTGGCCCTGATGCCGGAAGGTGACCTCTGCTGCCCTCACCAACCAGCCTCGAGGACCCCAGCCTCCACCCACCCCGGTGCTATGTTCTTAACCTCCTTTTGGCCTGGAGCAGCTGTCGTAATGCCCAGGGTATGGTGGTGGAGCCCAAAGACCCCCTTTTCCCTGCCTCGTGGCCTCCGCACCCTAGCCAGAGCCCTGCCTGTTGCCTCTTGCAAAGAGATGGATGGTACCCACCTCCTCGCATGGTTGTGACAATCAAATGAGCCAGCACACCTCCACTTTCTACATGGGGAAATGGGCTCAGCAAATAGGTGGCAATACTGGGATCTGAACCCAGGACTTGGCTCTCCTGGGGACTAGCTGAGGACAGGAAAAAGGCTGGCTGGGGGAGCTGGAGAGGGCTCCTCCTCACCTCTCTGTGAAACAACAGAGCCCAGAGCCCTCCTTGGGCCTCCTCTGCTTGGGTCTGATTCCAGAGACACCCTGCGCTGTTTGTCCCTTCCCAAAGCCACAGTGCCTGGTGCCTGGCAGCCTCAGGCTGCCCCTCCTTGGAGCAGGAGGTGGAACTCAGTTCTCGGAAAGAAGAGGGGCAGCCGGGTGGAAGCCAGCCCTGGGGACAGTAATCAGATCCCAGGAACCTGAGGCTGCTTTCCGGCAGTGTTACACAGAAGGCTTTGTCTGGGCTGGGGAAGATGAAGACCCGCCCTCCTCTCGTGGGTAGTGAGTGGCCCAGCAGGGGCAGAGGCAGGCAGTCATGAAGGAACCTTCCCCTGACCGAGCACAGGCAGACAGGGAAGTGGCTTTCCCAGCAGCTGTGGGGTAAGGGGTTACTTCCCTTTGCTGCTATATCAATATTCAACTTCTTGTTTAAATATTAAGTTGAATGCCCTCTGTCTGAGTGCCCACAGGAACCCAGGGTGAGTGAGTAACCGGGCTGCGTTCCTGGAAGTCAGGTTTCATGGTTCTCCTGTTCCCACATCTCTGCTTGTCCTAACTTGGGCCAGCCAGTGCCAGGCATGCTGGGAGTCCTGCTGTGAGGCTGGGAGTCGGGACTGGACACGCTTCTGGACCTGAGAATGTGCAGAAGGCTCGGGTTTGATCTGGGCAGCCTGGGGACGGGGTGGAGCACCCACTCCCCAGGCTGCAGGAACAGCAGCAGGAAGGAATCAGGGTGGGCGGGACTGCACCTGGGGTGGGGGTAGGCATCCCCACACAGGAACACATTCCCCACAGCCCCAGTCCCCACCTGCTTCCAAGCCCCAGCAGCTCCAAAACTCAGGTGGCTCAAAACCCTTGAGGGCGCTGCCGTCCCATCAGCCAAGGCGCTGGGGAAGCTCTAATGCAAGACTCCAAGATAGAGCCACTTAAACAAGGTACAAAATTGTTTCTTGCTCTGGCCGGTTTGGCTCAGTGGTTGGAGCGTCGGCCCACGGACCAGAGAGACCGGGGTTCAGTTCCCAATAAGGGCACGTACGTCGGTTGCAGTTTGTCCCCGGCCCCGGTTGGGGTCGTGTGGGTGGCAGCCACTCAATGTGTCTCTCTCACATCGATGTTTCTCTCTCTCTTCCTCCCTCCCTCTCTCCCTCCTGCTCTATCTGAAGATGAATGTAAGAATGTCCTCGTGGGAGGATTTTTTAAAAAAAGATTGTCTCTCACATCACAGCCCTAAGGTGAGTGCTTCAAGACCCATGGGACCACTGTCATCCCCAAGACAGGCTTCCAAAGGGCTTCAGCTGTTGCTATTTTCCAGATCGTGAGAAGGGGTGAGAGTGCTCAAGGCAAATGTCTTTAAGGAGATAATCCTGAAGTTGTGTGCCTCACTTCTGTTCACATGCCATTGGCCTGACGTAGTCACATGGCCACACCCAGCTGCCAAGGATGTTGGGAGGTGTGTGCATCTGGGGGGCCAAATATCCAGTTAAAATTCAGTATGTTCTATTACTAAGTGGATGACAGGAAGAAGGGACACTAGAGGACTGTTAACATACATAACAAGGAATCAGGAAAGGGTGCCTCCAGGGTTAGTTAATTGAGCAGCTCATCAACCCTTTTTTTTTTTTTATCCTAACCTGAGGACATTTCTCCATTTTTTGTTCAGATAGAGTAGGGAGGGAGAGAGAGAGAGAGAAACATCGACATGAAGGGGACACATCGAGTGGTTGCCACTCGCACGACCCAACCAGGGCCAGGGACAGACTGCAACCGAGGTACATGCCCTTAGTGGGAACCGAACCCGGGTCTCTCTGGACCACAGGCCAATGCTCTACTGCTGAGCCAAACTGGCCAGAGCAGCTCATCAACATATTTATATCTTCAAGGATTCAGTGTGTTGACTTTGGTCTCAGGCTTATTCCCTCATGGCCTCAAGATGGCTGCCACTGCTCCAGGCATCACACCCTTATGCACAAATACAAAAAGATAGAAAAGAAAATGTTACTCCTTTGTGTCTAGGAAACTTTTTTCAGAAGATCCCTTGTCCGACTGACTTCCCCTAACTCTCACTGGCCCTTTCCTACTAGCAAAGGGAATGGAATGACCAGGACTGGTTTACCCCAATTGAGGTTGGTCTGATTCAGGGGCTGGGAAGGGCCCCACTTCCTCCGCAGCACAAAGTCACCCGAGGGCTGAAGAAAATCAGGGCTCCTTTAGCAAGAAAGAAGGAAGATAGGAATGACTGTGGGTAAGGAGCCTCTATGCAGACTGGCACTTCCTGCCCACCTGCTCTGCCCCACGCCCAGCAGCAGACTCTTTCCTGCACATGCTTTCATTCATCTGACCCTTGTGAAGAGGACACTGTAAGGTATCTC